GCCCATGCAACTAAGCTTGCTAAGTGGTGAGGAGTGGAACAGATGAACACTTTGTGTGTTCTCGCTCTTCATTGCCACAGTGTTTGTGGGAGATAGCTTTTACAAACTCCACTGACGGACGAGGAAACGGAGGCTCAGGGAAGCTTTGGGAATCAGTCATTTTGATTGTGGAAATCAAAAACAAAGCTGATGGGTGGCAGCTCTGGAATTCAAATCTCAGTTACTCTGATCCCAGAGCCCAGGCTCTACAGAGTGCTGTCTGCCTGGGAAAGCTTGCTGCCAGAGATATGCACAACCTCCACTCAAGGCACCCTCCTTGACACGAACCCGAGGAAGAGGCGAAGTCTAGGGGAGGAGGATTCTGCAAAGCTGGTTTTATGGGTATTGTGTCTTCTGCTGATGGATAATTGCTATAAAGTGCTTGAGAGAACAGCTGATAATACAGTTAACGTGTCAGATCTTTCTGGGATAGCCACAGAATAGTTCAAAACAACAGTCAGTTGACAGGCAGGAGTACTTGGAGTCCAAAAACTAAAAATTGTCTCAGCCTTCCCAGTGCCAAGCTGCATGACGTGGGCAAGTGGTTTGACAGTCGTGGGTGGTGGCTCAAAGTGCAGAGTGCTCAGCCAGACTTCCTAGGTTCAAATCCCACTCTACCATTTACTAGCTATGTGACTTTGGGCAAATCCTTTAACTTCGCTGTGCCTCGGTTTCTTTCATCTATTAAATGGGCATAGGATTAATGCCTCATCACACAGAATTACTGTGAAGAATAAGTGAGTTGATACACGTGAAATACTTCAAATGATGCTTGGCATATAGTAGGTGCTCTTTAAGAGTTAACTAAGTTTCTTACTTACAAAAGTTGTAAAAATCTACATTCGGGGCTGATGATGACAATAAATGAACTATTTCACTATTATAAAACAAGAGATATACACATGAAATGGTATATATGCAAGCTACACAAATTTGAATTGGACAAATATAAATGTAACTTTACAGGTATGTTATATGTAACTGCGAGGTCCCAGCTTCAGATTTTTTCCGCTGGTCACTTCAGAGCATTTCTGATTCTTTGCAGTTGAGCACAAGGGGGAAGAAACCGCTTGCGTTCAGTAGGGCCTGGACCATGTGTTGCACGTGTGCCTGTCCTGGGAGCGCCACTGGGTGTGCATCCCCGGACGATAACGGATGATGCCAGTATTTCTCGGTGGAGTTGGAAACGAGGGAAGGATTCTTGGTTAACTGAGTTTATCTAACTTTAGCAAATGACAGATACAGATCTTGAGAATGAATGCACCTCAAAAAATGACTAGAAAAAATTTATGTAACTATTTATCCATGGATTTGTTTAAACCTACAGGAAACAAGCGAAACAAATTCAAGAGCAGCTGAAAGAGCCACATCATGCTAAAAGCTACAGTCTCAAAGCGTCCAGCACTTTGGCAAAGTCAGAGAACTTGGTGAAGAATCATGTCCAGCTGCAAAACGTAAGTGGCATGTCTGTACATCCCTTCCCACAGCCCATCTCGGTGCTCCTGGTCCAGAGGGGATGGGGAGCCTGTGATCAGACCCATCAGTTTTTTTTTTCAGTGCTTCGTAGATCTTTCTTGAAATCATCTTGCATTTTCCTGTGTGCACACGCATACTAGATAAAAGAGAGAAAAACTAAATCTCACCTCTTGATTATAACCTGTAATATAAATTAAACTCTGGAAGCGAAAAGAGCTTCAGTTCTTTGATCTGTAATCACTTATTAAATCCTTACTTGTGTCAGAAATTGTGCTGGGCTCTGGGGATGCCATGTTCCCTACGCTTTGGAAACTTATGTAAGTGAGAAATACAGACACCCAGAGGAGGCTTGTGGGATGAGATGGTTGATATTGTAACAGAGACGGGAGAAGAGACTGAAGGGAGATGATGGGGACAGAAGTGGAGGCAGACAAAAAAAAAAAAAAAAAAAAACCAGGCTTGAATTGGATTTTGAAGAATATGAGAAGTTCATCAGGTCGGCAGAGAGCAAAGGACAAGAAGAAACTAGAACAAACAAAGAATAAAGCCATGGAATCCTAAGAACACATGCTATGTTGGGGCAGCTCTGAGGTAGGGGGTGTGAGAGATGCCAAGTTCAGAAAGGTGGGAAGTGAGAGTTTCAGTCCAAGAGGAGGTACTTCCTAACACCAGGCCTTAAACAGATGCCAGAACTTGAAGTTCAAGGCAAACTCTTTGAATCCTACATTCTTTCTTAAGTCGTTTTAATAATTTCTGAAATGTTGTGTGACACAAAGGGGCAGCCGATCGGTGAGCCAGTGACCCGCGGGTTGGTAAAAGAATGGACCAGCGGTTAAGTCTAATAGAAATAGGAGTTAACAGGGAAGGCTGTCATAGACAACTGCACGGCACACAACGAGGGGTGCCTGTGAGAGCCCCAGGGGCCGGAGGCTGGGATCTTTTATAAGGCCGGGTCACAGGGTGCCTGATCTGCTTGTGCGCAAGTCTCTGTAGGTGAGGTAAGAGGTTTAGGGTCCATGAAGGGCGGTGGGCTTTGGCTGTGATAATGTAGGCGTTACCTGGGGCTACCAGTTTGTTAGGGGAAAGAATGTGTGAAGGAAAAGCTGGGCTGGTCTAACAAAGTAACTCACAAATCTAAGTATTGGAATACTGATCTGAGTTCTGCTAGACTAACTTGTAAATCTAGGTTAATTAGTGTTGGTTTGCTGTTCATGTTTTTTGCTAGCCAACTGGATTTTCAAAGATACGTATCTGGCTTTGAAATGTTGGTTTGCTGCCTCCCCACCTCCACTTTTGTGATGATAATGCTGCTAAAGCTGTTCCATGCCTATTGGCC